GGGCGGGGCGGCAGCGCGGCGGGGCCGGCCCGGAACGGGGGAGGCCCCGCACCCCGGGCGGAGCAGGCCCCCCGCCCCGCACTCTCGGTGGGTTCTCCTGGACGGGGGAGGCCGCCTGCACCCGGCTGGGTCCCCCTGACGGAGAAGGCCCCCCGCACCCCGGTGGGTGCCACCCCGCACCCCGGGTAGAGGAGGTCCCTCGCACCCCGGATGGTCCTCCCATGAAGGAAGCGCCTCCAGACTGTCTGTCTGTAGAGGAGGACCCTGAACCCCAGATGGTCCCTGCACTTCTCCCAGGCAGTGTGAGGTTCACAAGCCGCTTCCCGGGTCAGAGGCCACTTCTCGAACCCTGTGGTTGTTTATTTTTTCTTTGTTTTGCAAATGAGAGGGTGGGAACCGAGGACCTGGGAGGGACCTTCCCAGTTCTCGTTCTGAGGGCTCCTGTCTGGTCCCCAAAGCTCATTGGGCTGTTGCAGGAGAGCAAGTGTAGACTGGCTCAGCATGGCTCCAGGGTGAGGCGGCTTCCCAGCAGCTCATTCAGACTGCATCAGGGACAGGTTGTCACAAACGGGGAGGTTTTTATCACGGACAGTAGAGGGCTGTTTTGGCCCTTTTGAGTAGGAAAAAGGTTCCTCTGATGGGATACCTTCATGTGCTTTCAGTTAAGTCAGCTCCTGCGTGTAGGCTCCCAGGTAGCAGGGCTTCTCGTGGTTCAGAGGGGACGTGGATGAATCCTGTTTGTGCACACTAGAGGACAATCTTCTCAGAACGTTGTTCCCGAGCTTGAAAGGAAAACCAGGTTTTGTTAGAAGCCCGCTTTAGGTCGAGACGCGTATCAGACCTGAGTGTGGAAGCGTCCAGAGCCTGTGAGGGAGTTCTGGGCCCCTCCTCGCAGTGTGTCCATCTTTCCGTCTTCAGTGACTTACCGCGGGCGGGCTCACTGCCAGCAGGTTCCCATTTTATGCAACTGGGTGATCCGAGAAGCAAGGGACCAAATCAGCAGCTTGTCTCTCTTCCCACATCCTCCTCCCAGGAGCAGTGGGCTCCTGGCCTGTCACGTGTCCCCAGCCTCCTGGAGCTCCTTTCCCTCTTGGGAACTTGTGCGGAACTTCACTGGTGGCACGAGACTGAGTGTAAACACATACAAAGCTGGGCTCGGTGTCCTGTGTGAGGGGAGCAGCCAGGGAAGGGGAGCGCGTCCCAGTACCGAGGGGACATTCAGCACGGTGACAGCACACAGCGGAAGCCCCGTCACCCCATAGCGAGCGAGTAGGAGTGTCAGTGCTCACACGTATGGGGTCTGTGCCCTCCCAGGGTTCCTGGTCTGACTTCCTCGGTGTGCGCTGTCTCCTGGCATGTGTGACACTTGTGTGGCCTGCATCCGCGTGTGGGTGTGCAGCACACGGCTTGTCCACGTGCAGTAACGTTACGTGTGGGCCAGAGCCGCTGGGGGGCTCCAGGGAGGTGTCAGCAGGGGCTGGGGTCTTGAGTGCCAGTGACGCACTCAGCCGTGACGTTGCTCGTGATGTTCGGGGCGGCCAGGTATGCCCGCCGTCAGGTTCTTCCAGCGCAGCACGGGAAACAAACGGGTCATAAGCATGCAGACGAGCCACGCACTCAGAGCTGTGCGTCTTGACTCCAGGTGGCCTGTCGCCGTCGGGGTTGGGGTGGGTAGGGTTCTTGTGGGAGGTGCCACTAAACCCTGACACCTGAGGGAGGAGCTGGCGTTGTGGGGCTGGGGCTGGGAAGCAGGTGGGCCCGGAGGGAGAGAGGGTGGGCGCCTGCGGCACCGAGGGCAGCGGGCACGGCCAGGGTGCTTCTCCAGACACAAGGCCCGCGGGCAGCGAATGGGTTTGCTGCTTGGACTTCATCCGGTCGCTACAGTGTAAACCTGCTCTCACAGCTGGTGCCTGGCTCGCAGCCCGCCGCTCGCCTCCAGGCTCACCGGCAGGCGGTGGCAGTTGTTAAGGGTCTGGTGGCTCTCCTCTAGCCAGGGCGCACGGACTTGATCGAGCCCCACTCCCTGTGGAGGAACGGGACTAACACGGATGCCGGGTCGTGAACCGAAGGCAGCTGCCGTCCCAGCTGGTGGTGGCGAAGCGAGCATTTGTCAGTGCTGGGGTGCCGGGTCCCGAACGTTAGCCCTATGCTGGCGGGCCCCATCCCAGCGTGCTGCACCAGCACTCCAGGGGACCCAGAGCCTGGACTCACTGGGGGTACTCTGAAGTCCGACCACCGGGACCACACTGCCTCAGAGTCCTCCCCCAGGGTAGCCTGCCTGGGGCGTGGGATTCCTGTGTCCTTGCTCAGGGAAGCCTGAGGGGCGGGCGGGGCGGGGCCAGGACAGGGCAGGGTTAGCTCCTCCGGGTTGCCCCTGCTCTGCCTTGTCCCTTCAGTGGGGCTGAGAGGGGTCTTTGGCATTTGTCTGTCCAGGCTGGTTTCTTCCCGGAGCCTCAGCTGAGCGATGCCCCTGACCCGTGCTGTTTGCCCCACTGGTAACAGTGCTGGTATTCCTGTAACGACAACCTTTTTCTTTCCAGGGTTTCTGTCCAGTGCACAGACTCTTGAGAGGCACCTGATGGGCCCCCTGCCTTGTTAGAACTCAGGGGAGTTCACTCGGTGGTGCCATCAGCTCATGGGGATGGGGATCAAGGCTCAGTCAGAGGCAGCATCAACTTTTTTGGGCTCCCTCACAGATGTGTGGGTGGCCCCCACGGAGCTCAGGCTGATGGGGCCCTGGCTGAGCACGACCCCTGGTCATCCTTCTAGAGGGGCTGATCAGTCAGCAGGTTTGGGCTGAGCCCACCGCCCTCCCCTTGAATACCCCCGTCCCTCCTGAGCCAAGGTGGTCTGCTAGGTGGTGTTCCAGTGACTTGAGGCCCTGCAGGTCCTCATCAGCCTCATTGACAACGATTGTTTTTGAAAGATAACGTGGTGAGAACGTTCTCACTTGCACATAAACGTAGACAAACGAACATGTAATCATATAAGTAAATGCAAAGAAGTCGCAAATGTAGATAGCAGTGTGCAGATACTGATAATTATTGCTGAACCAGTGACTTCATCAGGGATGGCAGAGGGTGGTGTTTGTATTTTGTCCCGTGTTCTGTGGTGATTAACTGGGACTGTGTGTCCTGAAACACAGTTGTACAGCAAAGGCTGGATCAGGCTCCGTTCTTGCTCAGGAACTTCCGGGATTCGCAGGGAAGAGTGGTTTTCTCTTCAGGCTCGTGTTTGGCGTTTCTTTTCTGGGCACCATGGCGAGCCCACGGGCCTCCTGCTCACACTGTCTGCCGGGGCACGCCTTCTTCTGCTCCAGTGGACCCACCTGCCCTGCCAGCCCCTCCCTGCTGGCCCGGGTCCTACGGCTGGTGGGCAGCCCGTTTCTCTCTGCTCTGGCCTGAGGCTGCTGCATCCAGGGTCGGAATTCTGGACCTTTCCGTAGGTCACACCTTGTTGGGGTGCGGTGACCTTACTGGCTGCACAGAACCTTTCTTATTTTGTCTGATGTTAGCGTGGGAATGTTTGCCTTAGGGTTTTTTGTGTTTTTTTCCCATTCTTTGACTTGACATCTTTCTGCACATTTATATTTAAGATTGGTTTATCGTCAACAGTATGTAGATTTTTAAAGTCAAATCTAAGAAGTGTCTTTGTTTTTTAAGTGAAACATGTTAAGTAATTTTATATAGTTATACACATGTTCTTTTCGGATGTTTTCCTTTGCACGTATGTTTGTCCATTTTTTTTTTTTCTCCTTCTTTTGGGTTGATTAAATACAGTTTTTGAAATCCAGTTTTTTCTTCTTTTCTGCCCTTTTCGTGGTTATCGTAGAAGCTTTAACATGCAGACTTACCGGGGTCTGCAGTCAGTTATATTTACCCGCCTCCTGATCAGGACGTTACCCTGAGGGACGTCTTCCCAACAGGGGTGCAATTTTGTTACATATGCCGTCGCTGTTTCCTCTTCCTGTTCCTCAGACCTCCGGGCCACTTTGTTTTGCTTTGAGAATTTCCGCTGGAGGCTGGCTGTCCCGGGTTTGGTTTTGAAATGCCACCCGCCGCCCCTCTTCTCGCCTGCGCAGGGCTCTGGCCTGACTGTCGTCCAGGTCCACACGCGCCGTCCTTCCCCTGGCATCGGCCGCCGCCCCCCGCCCCCGCATTTCCAGGGCCCTCCTCCCATCCCCCCAACCCTGTCCTGGGTCAGCACTGTGGGCCCCGAGGTCTCAGTCCGGTTCGCTCAGCGACACTGAGCTCTGACTGTGGGCCAGTTGTCTGGCGTCTCTGCGCCTGGTCACCCGACTCGCGCGAGGATGGACTGTGGCATGAATGCAGCCTGGCCCGGGCCCAACCCGCAGGAAGCACCTCAACGAGTGAGCTGCTAGGTTCCCGCAACTTCATTTCCGCTTCTCGAGGAACCCCGCACTTCCCCACGGCCGGCTGTGCCCTTTTGTGGGCACCATTTACCGTCCCCCACACCTCCCTCCGCTCTGCCCCGACGCTGTGGGGGCCGAGGGGCTGCTGGTGCAGGGCTATGGACCCTGGGAGGGCCGCTGTGTGAGCTGAGGGCAGGAGGCCCCCGGAGGCCGCCTGAGCTTTGGGGGACCGTGGGCGGAGGGCGTTCCGAACAGGGGCACGGCAGCGGTGCACTCAGGGTTCAGAGGCTCCCCCGGCTGAGTTCTCAGGCACTCTGGGCACGGTCGTCACCCATGAGCCAGCGGACAGCAGCCTCTCCCTGCTCTGAGGCCACTGTCTCTACCTGTACTGTCCTTGCACCAGCTCCTTCTCTTTTCTTTTTTTAAATTGTTTTTAAAGGTTTATTTGTTTATTTTGAGAGAGGAGGAAGGGAAGGGGCAGAGAGAGAGAATTCCAAGCAGGTTCCGCGCTGTCTACCCAGAGCCCGACGCGGGGCTCCAACCTGTGAACCATGAGATTGTGACCTGAGCTGAAATCAAGAGTTGGATG